GTGTTCAAATCAATAGGCTGGAAACTGACAAGCAGTCAGATCCTAAAGGATGTGCTGCTCATGCTATCTATAGATTGGAAGCAGTGGGCATCATTCTATGCCAACACTATGTTTACCATGGAACAGTCAGTCCTACTTCTCAGAATCAGCCTTATCATGGTTTGAATTTCATATCCTGCCTTATCTATATGCTGTAGCATGTTGGGTAAGCGCATTGAACAATTTGTTTCTAACACCCCAGGGCATCATCCGATAACTCCAGCTGCTAAATGTATCTGACAGCATCCCCCCGTTATGACACTGTACTTGCCTCTCATTCAAATTCAGAACAGGAAGCACAGCAAAGAACAACAACAACACCAGAAAAAAAGATTAACAGAAAGAAAACAAGCCAGAGCACTTCTGTTTGACATGACGAACATACACAATATTAACAAGATCCTATCGGAGAGGGGAACAAAACGCAACAGTCCTCATTCATTCTTCCATGCAGGCATTCCTTTGTTTTTCCACATCGAGCTGCCCGGAGGCCATTAGATCAGTCCCGCCAAAAAGCTGACAACTGTGTGTGGCTTTCAGAGCTCAGCCATTTTAAATCTGCCATCCATCTCCATGAAAACCAGAGCATGTGATGTGGGTAATCAGTCAGTCGGCCATGCGTGTGAGTGTAGTGCGATACTGCCCACTGCTCTTGTCTTGTTGGGGACAAAATCAAGGGGACGGCTGGACGTGTGTGTGCTGACCCTATGACCCATCCACAGCCTTTTAGTTCACCTAAAAAATTTTAAATAATATTCAATACGCAACATTTCTGAGGTCTCTAAATTATTAACCTGATCAAAACTTGCTGTACACAATCTTGTGCATGCCTTCTGTCATATAATTGATAGTTTATGCTTTTTTAGCAAGTCGGTTTTAGTGTAATTCTTGTGCCTTTTTGCTGTGAACGTTTAACTGAATTTTATAAGTAAAGGTAGGAAAAAAAATATTTTAAGAACTGTTGACTGAAATGTTCTTTGGGAACCTGCAGTCTTTTTTGTACATCTCTCATTCAAGATTGTATTGTATTATATATATTTGCCATCATTCATGTTCAAATATGAGCTACATATTCTCCAATATCATACTATATGGACCATAAAAGCCTGATATATCAAATATGGTACTCAACAAAAAAACACATGCAAATTTTTTTTATAATATATTCATTATATTTGTCAAAAAGTTCAATAGAATGCTTTAAAAATAAAACATGTCAGGCTGTACAGAGTTAAAGGACAAAGCTGCTGCCATGTTTCACCACAACAGTACAACTTTTCAGACATTTCAAACTAAGTACGGATTTTACAATCACCCTGCACTTCAGCAACTGAAGTGTGTCATGGTCAGATGAAGTAATGAGGCCGTAGCCCTCCACTCTTCTCACCATTGAAACCATCCCACATCTCTCTGCCCTCTGCCGTGTTTCATCTAAGCATACATAATCACTTCTGCATCCATTCATTATTTGAGCTTAATGAGCAGTGCCCGTGAGACATACTGAGCTCATTGAAGATTCATGGCCACTCGTAGGCCCATCCAAATGGCAGCATGGATGCAAACATATGTGGTGTCAACACGCCGATGCTGTCACAACTCGCTGCTGATAATTTTAGTGACAGTTCAGTGGTGAGCACTTGGTGACCAGTGAACAGAGCACTCAATGAGCAGTCAATTATTTATTAAAGTTGAATGCTTATATGCAGATTGTTTACAAATTTAAGAGCACACATTCACAAAGAAAGAAACGGAACAGACATGGGATGTGTTTTAAAATTGTGTATGCTGTTTACCTAGACAGCTTATTTGGTGCCTGATACCTAAAAATTCTCTAAAAGCCTATTATGACTAAAAATGCTTCATGAGCTTATGATGCCCAAAACTGCTGCAGTGTCCTACAATGCCACAAAATGCTGCATGCATCCATGATGCCCAAAAATTATCCCTAGAAATATGCTGTATGCACCTATAATGCCCGAAATTGCTGCAACGGCCTATAATGCCTAAACAATTCTGCATGCGTCTTATGATGGCAAAAAAACATGGCATGTGCCTATGATGCCAAAAAAATGCTGCATGCATCCATGATGCCCAAAAATTATCCCTAGGAATAAGCCTAAAATATGCTGTATGCACCTAAAATGACCAAAAAATGCTGCAACGGCCTATGATGCCTAAACAATTCTGCATGCATCTTATGATGCCAAAAAAAAAGAAAGGAAAAAAAAAAATGTAGCATGTATCCATGACGCCCAAAAATGATCCCTAAACTGTGAAATATGTCTCAAATATGCTGTGCGCACATATGATGCCCACAGTAAGCTGCACAAGTAATGGCAAAAATGCTGCTGAAAGAAAAAGGCTGCACACATATATGATGCCCAAAAATGCTACAAGCACATATAATGTGCAAAAGTGACGCACAAGTCCATGATTCCCAAAAATGCTCAATGCACTATGAATGATGCATTCATGATGCCCAAATATGATCTATGAAATATTCCTAAAATATAATGTATGAACCTGTGATGCCCCAAAATCAACCCTAGAGCAAAGAAATATGCCTAAAATATACTGTACGCACATGATGCCCACAAAAAATGCTGCTCAACGAAAACGTCCAAAAATGCTGCAGGCACATATAACTGTCAAAAAATGCTACATGAGTCCATGGTGCCCAAAATACTATACAAACCCAGAAATGCTGCAGTCCCCTATGATGCCCAAAATAAGGCACTTTTGATGGCCAAAAATGCTGCCTAGGAAGGCATATTGAGACACAGCCATGTTGTCCCACTCATACATGCGTGGCGCAAACACGACACTGACTCGCATCTACGCATCCATGAACTTTTCTGGCACCGCGCTATCATAAACAAACCTTAACGCCACAGGCTTGTTGTGTCAACAGCACAGACTAATGCAACAGACCAAGTCGTCAGTAGGATATAAAACCACAAGCCAACTTGACACTCATTTGAATGTAAAACCAAATTAACAATTATGAGTTTATTATTATGTTACATTTTGTTTAATCTTACTTTAATAACATCAATATGAATGCACGATATAGCAATGCATGACTAAGATTAAACAACATAGCAATGCTTTTTTAAGTAAAAGTTGTAATGGCACATTATTGAAAAACATTTGTCCCTTTATAGCAAAGAAAAAGTGAATGCATCAGTATTAATGTGTTTTAGTATATGTGGATCAATTTATCAAGTGTTACTAACTGAAATATAAAATCTATATGTTGTATTCAGCGAAGCTTGGAGGAGCAATGCGCGCATTATGAATTGACATGATGAAATAGCAGATAGATAGATAACTATTTCAATACAGATACAATATTACTCACCCAAATATTGTGAGAGAAGTATCCGGTCTTTTATTTATCGCTCAAAGTGACTCGTACTCTCGCAGTTGGAGGAGTAAACTGTACTTCAACAGAGAAACGCCACCTATTTGTTTCTTCTCTGTGATGAGGAGGATGAATGGAGCGGTTTCGTTTCCCTTGCCAATACATTTGCATAAGGACCGCCTAATCCGTTCTCTGATTGGCCAATATCAGACATTAGAGCGACTGTCAGAAATTATTCGTTTTTAATTGGATGCTCTCAACTGTCAGTCAAACACAGCTCGTTGCAGCATCCCTTACGAACTAGCGCTTGTTGCACCTTCCTGCGGGCATCACTGCGTGCCAACAGAGGAAATGTGCATGTTTATCTTCACTCGAACAGGTACTTTAATCATTTGCATTCCAAGTGTACATGTGGAAGAATCTATCTATCTATCTATCTATCTATCTATCTATCTATCTATCTATCTATCTAATGTTGGTTCTATCTATCTATCTATCTATCTATCTATCTATCTATCTATCTATCTATCTATCTATCTATCTATCTATCTAATGTTGGTGACAAATTAAACCACATAAACATTTGATCAAGTTTGTGCTGGAGATGGAATGGAATCAATTTTAGGCTACAAATGGAGACTACTGTTACAATTGTTCTCAATTGCTTTGGCTTAATTTTGAAGCCATCTTAACATTTTCTAGATGTGCAATCACAATTCAACTGCATGTCTGCAAAATAGCCTATTGTAACTTGCCCAAACCTTTTTTAGATACAGATTTTAAAAGTAGGTGAAATTTTACTGGAAAAGTCAAGTAATACACAGAAAAAGACTTATGCACGTTTGTATGTTTACAGTCCATTTATTTTTGTAGCGATGTGTTAGATATGGAAAATAAACATTTGCATGTCCAAGTTATAAAGTCAACATTTGCCAATTTAGCAGACATCACAGACATTTCATGCCATATATTTACAGAATGTACATGTATGTCTGACTGATTTTGATAACTGAATGAATAATTTTGCATTTGATGGCTCACAAAGTTATGAAGAGTGACAAAACTTGTCAGTTTTGACCAAAAAGCCAGTTATAGTACAAAATTGTTGACAATTGCACTGACTCATTTGCATGTGCCAAAACACACGCATTAAAGGGGTCATAGGATGCCCATTTTCCACAAGTTGATATGATTCTTTAGGGTCTTAATGAAAAGTCTGTAACATAGTTTGGTTAAAATTTCTCTTGACCCCTTTAAGAAATTCAAATCTGGTGTGAACAAGAAACTAATTGTTTAGAGATCTGAATCTCAATTAAGAATTGAGCCAAAGCAATTGAGAAAAACTGTAATAGAATACCAGGTGACCTTATGTTGTTTTACATCCAATACCCAATGCTCAATTCTAATTACAATATTGACAACTCAACAATTGCTTGATTAGCAAATAGTTTTCTTCTGATACACAATATTCTATTGTTGTCCGCTTACTTCTTTTTAAATGGTCTCGTCCTGTCCTTCCTTTTCATCACTTTGCCTTTGGATCTCCTTGGCCATTTAGCATCATATCAGAAAGGGTGTAATTGTTTTCTGGACTCACCTTCACGCATATTCTGGGTCACTCTAAAAGAACATCAGCAGACATGTCATGCACGTCCCTCCTGGTGTCCTCCCACTCCAGACTCTCCTCCACAGATGAGGAAATATGGCGTCCAGCACTTTACTGGCAGGTGTCAGTATGAAATGACGTTCTGAGAGGAAAACAGCAGGTATCTGGTTTACAGTCTCTTGCAGTTTCCCGGAGATGGGCAGCATTTGGTTAACAGTTGGTTCTCACTGTGGGCTTCTGTCACAGTCAATTGAAAGTGCGTTGTTTTGCCCTGCCATCCACCCCGCTGCTGCACACATGCTATTCCAGAACTTGATCAGAATTAGGAGACCACATATGATACTGTGAACTCTTACTGTGATGTCCAGTCCTTCCTTTGTGGATTTTTCTTTGGTATGCTTAGAAGTGGATAGGACATTTTTGGGTATATTTTCACAGTAGATGAGAGTAACAAGGTTATATTCAGGGTTGAATTGCATGTAACGTGCCCTTTACAGATAATGTCACCTACCCTTGCAAAAAAAAAAAAAAGGAAAGTGTTCAAAGTGCACTTGTAGTGCACTTTAAATCTTAAAAGTATATTTAAAAACTGTACTTGAAGATAATATATGAATTAAAACACACTTAAGTACACTTTTAAAAAGTATGCTTTGTAATAATGTCAAATAAAAAGTACTATATTTTAAATCATCACATCATGCTTTAAAGTATACTTATTTTAATGTGTTGACTAACATGAAAAATTACATATAATGATGCATGAAAGTCTATCTTAAAGGGATAGTTCACGTAAAAATTAAGATTCTGTCATTAATTACTCACCCTCAGAAAGTTAGTAAGGGCATCGTTAAAATAGTCCATGTGACATCAACCTTAATTTTATGAAGATAATACTTTTTGTGCACAAAGAAAACAAAAATAAAGACTTTATTCAACAATTCTTCTTATGTGTCGTGGTACCGTCTGAACGCTTGTCGAATACTGACACGGAAGAGAAAAAATTGTTGAATAAAGTCATTTTTGGTAACATGGTAGCTGCGTTGCTGTCTATGGAGGGTCAGAAAGCTCTCGGATTTCATCAAAAATATTTTAATTTGTGTTCCAAAGATGAACAAAGGTCTTACGGGTTTGGAACAACATGAGGATGAGTAATTAATGACAGAATTTTCATTTTTGGGTGAACTATTCCTTTAAAAACACTCTTAAGTTTAAATAATGCCATTTTATATCAATATAAACTAAATTTTATATATTTTTTATAATAAATTAATATTTAATATATTTTTTATAATACATTTAATTGCAAATAACATATGTGTCTGAAAACATTACATTTAGTTTGCACTTGAGTGTATTATTTTAAAGGACATTATTTTCCGTAATAAGTATACTTTTTTTCCAAATGGGTAGGCCACACAGACCAGTGCAAATATCTATTTAAATATTGTTTTAGGCTAGTGTTGAAAGTAATGTAGACTAAACCATGCTAGCAGTAATTTGATGCCAGTTCCAGTTTGTAAGGTTCATATAATCCTTCAGTGATGGTAAACAGATTTGGCTTGCTGTTCAAGAGGGCTCGAGCTTGAGACTTGACTCGAGAACTAAAGTCCCGCCAAATTATTTAATAAATGAAATTAGTAATGAGCGGACAGAAATAAGGCATGAGATGAAATTGTGGAGGGATGCCAGAAGAACAGTCTTGGTATTGAGCATCTGTTTATATGCTCTTCCAACATTAACTTTAATATAATATACGTTTCTGGCAATAATGGCCAATAAATATAGATTTGAAATGTAAGTGTCACCATTGGGATACTCAAAATGCTCTTGAGGGTCTCAAACTTGACCGTTAGCCTCCATGGCCTGGTCAACGGCAAGCTCCATCCTTGCATCAAACAGATACAAAAGGTTCTTAAAACGTAGGTTTTTTTTGATTATTAAAATGTTCTTATTGCATGATGAAAAAAATGGTTCTTTTAAAACTACTTACTGAAAGGTGCTTTAGGGAACTGAAAATGGTTCTTCTATGGCATTGCTGCAAAGCCCTCTTTTTGGAAACCCTCTTATTGTAGTTCTGATGAGCCCATCCCAGTGTCCCAAGGTGCTGCTATTCATGGAAATGCTGTAGACATTGTAATATAAACAACTGATAATACATCATTCCCAAACCTATAGCACATTGTCACCTCAGCTTTGTTTTTACACGCACAGCCCCATTTAATCTTCATCCATTATTTGGCATGATGGAAAACAACAGTTTAACAGTTTAAACGACCTTTCCACTTGTCTCAAAGGGCGCCCTCCCCACCCCCTCTCCCTCCATTTCTCTGCCAACTGCCCACCATTGTAGGGAAAACAAATTAATTAGAGTCTGAAGAGCTGGAATCTTTGTAGCCAGCTAATCAACAGTGGTAATAATTAAGCAAAGAAGGGATGGCATGTGCATTTAGAGAGAGGTGACGTGGCTGGATCAATGGGAAAGGTATCATGGAGCTACAGAGCATCCAATCAGACTAGCGTGGCGCTATTGCAGAATTGCCTGACCTCAATTCCCCTTCCCCACACATCCTGACCTTTAAAGCAGACAGACGTTTTATTTCCTTTTTATATCAGAGGCCTTTTAATCAAATTAGGGCAAATGTCTGCCTCTGACCCTCTTTGCTGAGGTCATGATTTGCCATTTTGTTTATCCTGTGACATAAAGGTTAGCTCAGAAGATGAGTCTACATGATGATGGTTAAAGAGGCTCACGCTGGATCCTTTACTAAAAGCAGGAAAGAAATCGATCAAAATTCTTCTAGTTATAAACATATATGAAGTAGATTTTTACATTCTCTGAAGAATATGTGCGAATGTTAGCTTGATGTGCAAAACTTCTACGTAGTTGCTGTGCTGTTGTTTTAGGTGGTGTGATAATTTATTCCCTAGTTGGCTAAATTTCCTCCTTCCATGTAAGTCTATAGTATTTTTTCACCTGTTTTAATCACAGAATGTGTAGATGTTTAATCATTTGGGATAGAGTTTTGTTTCAAAGTATGAACAATAGTTATTAGGGATGCAATCTTTAATATATCAGTCATTAGCCAAATATTACAGATTTGTGTTTTAAATTAAATTTATCCATATGGACCCTTTTCATAGACTGTGATGACATTCATTCATTCATTCAAAAAATTATGTACATTTGTAACACTATACTTTGTGTTTTATTACCTTGGCCTTAAATTACACAAAACTAGTTAACGCTGCTAAGTGTTTCTAATTCAATGGCTGAGTGACGGAAAATTTGACATCTTTATTTTCACCAATGTATACAATATTTTTGAGCAACAGTATTTTTCCCCCCTCTTTTGGGAATTTATTGAAAAGCTGTTGTGGACCTTTCTTATGTTATTGGAGCGAAAGGGAACATAAAAATTGCATTTGTTGTAGTTTTCCGCCACTAGTTCACCAGTTTACCAAACTACATGACTTCCACTTCTGAGAACCTTGGAAACATAAAAATTTGCCCAATAATAGATATTTACCAATTTCTTCTATTTTTACATTTAGATTATATTTGCCACCATCTAATGATCATTGAAGGTTAATCTTTAAAAACATTTATAATATTAAATAATTTTAAAGAAATAAAAACTGGTAGAATTTATAGCAACTGATTTTATTTTTAGTGATTTTTTTTTCTTCATTTAATTTATTTAGGTAAAATAATAATTAGCCATAATATGAGAATAATTATCGGCTTATCGGTATCGTCCAGAATTTAAAAAAAAAGTGCATTCCTATACTAATAGTCCTGCTTAACTTTAGCAGTCACCACTGATTAGGATTAAAACGTTCATGTGTATAACTTTTTAAAAAGTAATGTTACACTACAGATTGAACTTCCTTTATAATCTATGCGCATAAGAAAATGAGATCCCTCAGGATAAATATATTTAGAAATAATACACTGGACAGAATCACCAAATATATTCCTGAGTTGTGGACCAGAACAGCACATCTCAAGTTTCATTTCCTGATGCTCTATGCAAACACATCCTTCTCGGCTCTGGCTAGAGAGATTTATGAAGTTCACTGTGTGAGGTGGACGGCTACAACCTGTAAGCTGTCTGTCTGATGATAATATGTTACCAGGGGCATATATGCCAAAACCCATGACCTGATTCACACTGACGAACAAGCTCTGAGAGTCCATGCTGACATTCAGGCTTAACACAGAGTTAACAAGTCTTTTAGTCATCTCAAGCATCTCTCAAGGTATCTAAGAAAAGACCTGACGTCTGAGTCACTAGGGTTAATGGCCTGAGGTCTTGCTGAGGCCCTTCCGTTGTTAACAAGAAAAATCTCAATGACTCACAAAGTATCAGTCTACTTCTGCCGACTGAGAACAACAGAGAAACCTGAGGTAAAAGGTCTGTAGTCCAAACAGTTTGCTCCTCTGTTAACATTTGCGTCAGTGTGATCCAAGGACACAAAGGCAGTTCTTCTGAGCTTGTCATGTAGACAGACAGTCTCCGGCAGTGACATTGATGTTTGATGTTTTGGTGGCCGTTGGCTCATCCGTTGCCTGTCCAGTGCACATCTGCCATCAGCAATATACACCCTGACACAAACCATATCGCAGATGTTTGACTCTGAAGAACAGCCTCTGAACACACACATCCATTAAGGCTGATTTTAGCTCATTCATATTACGTTTTGTTAGTCGGTCTGGATAAGAGCATCTGCTAAAAGCTTTAAATGTAAATGTTTACCAGTTTTACTAAACTGAGAGTTTATTTGTGAACAGAAATGTCAGTCAGACACTGTACATTTAATAATGTGGAATATCAAAAATATGGGAGATGTAGAAATACGTGAAAAGCAAATCAGCTAAAATTTAATATTTCATTATTATTCAAATGATCAGCTACTTTCTGTGTTTATTGTTTAGAGTTTAGGTGAGGTTAGGTTTTATTTATGCCATCAGTTCTATAAATAAGTGGTCTTGTGCTTTTAAAGGAAAAAACGAGTGAATTCTTCTCTGCTGGCTTGTAATAGAAATACAGTAATTAAATTAAAT